GACACACAGGATGAAGTTCCTGCCACCACTGACAAAAAGGTGGTCATTGGTTCCCTGTCATCACTTTCCTGGGTCTCCCAGCTCTCAGCTAAATCTCACCTCTGGCTCTGTTTCCTGTCCCTTTGCCCTCACCTGCTGAGGCTGTGACGTTCTGGGAGCGGGTTCCAGGCCCTTGGCTGGCCGTCGTTTGCAGACATCCTGGGCTGGGAGCCCCTTGGCTGAACTGTAGCTGGAAGGGCTGGTGCCATGCCAGGAAACAGAAGTGAATTGTTCAGCAAAGGAAGCAGATGGGGAAGGGTGGGCATCTGCAGGGCTTGTGTGCTTATCCTGGTTTGCCCACAGACACCCTTCTGGTCGGGGAGATAACAGGTTGGGAAGGAATTGTAGTCAGCAAGTCACAGGAGTACATAAAAGGTGGGGGAGGGCCGCATCCCCTGAGGAGTATGTTGCAGACATGTCTCTGGGTTGTGGGAGGTCGGCAGGGAGATCTCTCAGCTGGAGCCCTCATGTCAATCATAGCGTGGAAGGTCCTCACGTGAGCTCCTTGCGTGAGCTCCTCGCTGCCTGGGCTTTGCTGTCCCCATCACAACATGCTTCCCGTGCAGGCACCTGTGGTGTGTCTCCCAGGGCCACTCCTCATGTGGGTGCTGCCCTCACCTCTTGGCTCACCATCGGGACAGAATTGGGTCTCTGGCTGGCTGAGAATGGGCCAGGTGTCAGCCTTCCTGGCAGAGGGCTGCCCTGTACCTGGAGGTCACAGCCACTTTAAAACTAAACTCCTCCGTAGTGAGCAACATTCTGGCTTTGCCTCATCAGGTCACATGATCAGGTCATTAAATCACCTGCTGGCAGACCAGATCTCTCCCATTCCAGAACTCAGGACCCTGGCTCCTCCTTTGTGTCGAAGCCCACACACCTTTTATTGCTTCGGGCTTGTGAGGTCTATGTTTGCAGTTGTGTTAGACACAAGCTTCCGCCTTTTACTAAAGTTTTAAAGAAGTGCCTGAAAGAAGCGTGACCACTTGTCCTGTCCCGTTGACCGTCTCTGTGATAGGGGAGTGGTCCCACAGCTGGCTCACTAGACTCCGGTGCCTGGAGCTCAGGAGCACGCAACAGACAGATCTCACGTGCTCAGGACAGAGCGCAGGGATGGTAAACCCCGTGGAGCTGAAAGCTGGTGGGCGAATGAAATACTCATGGTGAGATGGGTGCTCCCTCCGTCTGTCTCCACTCTCTCCTCACTGTCATCACTGTCATCATCTTCATCTTCACAGACACCTGCATTCCCAGCTCACTCTCCCTTCCTGACCTACCTGCTGACTCCTCTCATCTCCTGCCCCCCAGGAGTTCTGCACGTGGCTGCAGAGAGCTCTCCAGGGACAGTGGCGTTTGGAAGGCACCAGGTTGTGTGTGGAGTCAGCTGCAGAATGAGACTGATAGTCACCTGCCTTTATATGTACACAGCACCCAGAGTCCAGAGTTTGCAGGACCAACAGACAACATGGTCACTTGAGAACAGAAAACAAATTTACCATCAACTGTAACTGTCCTGGGGCCAGGAAATGCAGGAGTCAGCCTTTTGGGTTGCGTGTCTGCCTCTGAGTGGGTGCCTCTCGCTCCAAGAATAGCGCCATCCCCAAGTCGGCGGCTGTGGTTGACTGGCAATGGCACCTGCCAGGTCCTGGTGGTGCCCACATGCGGGCACTGGGGGAGAGCTGACGCTGTGTCTTGCTGTCTGGGTGGGATAGAGGGGTGGCCTGGGGCATTGTCAACATGAGTAAGTAGGTGGTTTAAAGAAACACACTGTGTGTTGTGAGAGTAAGTGGTACAAAGCTCTGTTTTCACAGAGGTACCTGTCCTTATGTCCCTTGAGCTCTGGCATCACCATGTGCAGCAGGGAGCTGCTCTGCGGTCAGCGAACACCTCCCAGCTCTGAAGATGTCCATGCGACTGTGGTGGCCTGACCCTGACAACTGAAAGCTGCAGATGCTCTGGGGTAGCTGAGAGAAAATGGCCTTGGATGGAGGACTTGATGCATGAGGCCAAGTGCTTTCAGGGGCTTATGTAAAACCAACCTGAATTTGTACAGAAATGATGCTCACAGAGATGTCAGTGAATTCCAGAAAATGGGCCAGACCCTGGAGCTGGACAGGCTACCTTCCCAACATCCCAGTTTGCTCTGCATTGCACCTGGCTGCTTCGTGCCTGTGAAACTCCACTTTGAGCTCCTGAGGCCTGTTTGTGGTCCCGAGACCTGAGAGCTGCTTCGTGTGACCAGGGGACCTCTTTATTGGAGTTCTCTCTGTCAGGTTTCTATGTGGCTTGTTAACTATCAAGGCCGGCACATGAGGTGCCTGCCTTCCAGGGTGGTGTGCAGGCGGCCGAAGGCACTACAGCGGGAGGGGCACCCCCCCCCCCC